TATATTATAATTAATGAATCGTATTAATTAATAGATTAATAACTTAATTAATAATAATGAACGAATTATAGATGATAATATGTAAGTAAATTTTATCCGATATTAATTGTAAAGAAATATAAATTAAAAATAAATCCGAGTTTATCATGATGCCATTATTATGTACTATTTGAAGATTCTAGATACTTCCGTTCCACATAAAACATAATATTGAGGAATAAAATTTAAAGAATTTTCTAATAAACTATAAATTTAAATTTAAAAATGAAAAATATTACTAAAGTCGTAACGAAACTAATTGAATATTTAATGATTATACTGTAATTAAGAAGGATTCTTTTGAATGTTTCAAAGGTATATTTTTTATTGCATACAAATTATATTATAATTACGGTCGCAACATATCAGAATATTGATAAAATTATTTTTTTCACAAAATAATCAATGTATCTAAATTATTAACAATAATTTAGATTAATTATTCCTATTTTAATATTTATTTCTTCCGAGTACTTATATTTATCCTAATCTTGTATATCACATTAAAAAACGAAGTAATTTCTAAAGAAATATAGTACAAGTATAAATATAATAAAACAAGTATAAATAATAAAAATATATTTGATGAAGTTTTATTCATATGGAAATATATGATTTGTAAGATTATAGTTTGTAGTTGTTCGTAAATATTATGTACTATTTATTTATGGATATTCAAACTTTAAAGTTTTTTTTTTTTCATTATTTTATTGAGCTACAGATTTTTAATTAAAAAGAATCATGGATATTAATATAAAATTTATACATTTGCAATTATGGTTATTACAAAAATATATGTTTTAAACGCATTGTTATATATCTAAGTAAATTAATACAACTTTTGAAAATTTTATAAAAAGTTCCTATCAATGCAACTAAGCCGTTTTATTTATAAACATTTCATTAATTATTTATTTATTCATAACTTTGATTGATTGATTGATATTTTATTTTTAATTTGTGCTATATATATATATATATATATATATATATATATATATATATATATATATATATATAATTTAATGTAATATACAAACTTTTTAAATTACGAATTTTAATATAATTTTACAAAATTATTGGATACATTTTTCAATTCACTTTTAGAATGGAATGCAATTTTCTTCTACAAGTCGTATATTAATTATGTTTCAAAAAAATGTTTTTAAGATACAAAGAGACCTTATCAATATTTATTAAAAATTACTTTAGTATATCAATCGAGCAAATTCATGCTTCTTCTTGTAATTTTAGTTATAATATTCTTCTTTAATAATTTTTGATACTTTAAAAATTATGACATCCATTAATTTTATAATTCATTATAATTATGTACAATTTAAATATTGTAATTAATCAGTGTATGTTATACTTGGAATATTATTATTGAAATGAAAGTCAATTATACTATAATTAGCGGTAAATTTCTTATACTTTCTGTGCAGAAACTTTAATCGTTAATTTATGAAAAATCAGTAGATATTACACGTAAAGAAATTATTTAAGTATTTTTATATTAACGTTGGCTCACGACAATTTAATCATATGTATCTTTGATCTATTTTAATATTTATTTTAATAAATTATTAAATACTTTATAGATGTATTGATAAAAGTGAAATAATTCCAGCCAATAACATTAAATTGTAAGTAATAATTATTTTCTTTATATTTTCCGTAATTTTCCGTATTTTCCGCCATTTCCTGGCTTTTCGTAAAAATATATCATATATATTATACAGACATGTGCTTTCGGAGAGCTCTTTCAATTATATTAATTCATGTATCATTAAATATTTTTTTATTCGTATAATTTAGCAATTAAAAAAAAAATGAATATATTATCGAGATGAGCGTTATTTTAAAAAGTGTTCGTGAGCACGTAAAACTTTATAGTACCGGCTGATCGTATATAGCGTTGTTCCACTACTACATATTCCTCACTCTATTGCTCCTCATCGTTACATATTTGATTTTATACTCTTGCATCTATGCAGACATGTAATAGCCTGGAATTTCATTACCGATGAGAAATCTTTTATCTCAACTATCGATGAATGTACGCTAATTGCAATATTCGACATTTTGTAAAAATTAGCGTGACGGTATATTTCAAAAAATTGCATTCGAATAGTTTTTATAAACTTTTCTGACAAAATATACGATGCCTAGCAAAAATACATAATAGAAAACGGTATCTTAGCATAATAACTACTAATAGCTGTAAGATATTTATTAATTTTGTTAATGAATTTCTTGTTAAATATAACTGATTTATTTAAGAAAGATAGCAATTATAAATGTAATTTTTATAAAAAAAATAACCTAATAAATTACTAAAAAAAATTCATATCAACTTACAATTAAATCGATAGATATATTCTTGTCATTTAGTAAATATTTTCTTTTTAGTTAACATGAACGATTGATTAACTATTTTCATAAAAGAAATATGTAAATTAATATATGTGATGTATTTCCTATCGCTTGAGCTTATAGACTGCTTTCGTATCATATAAAAAGTATTATAATATTATAAGTTTTTGTAAAATCTTAAATACTCCTATATTATGAAAATTAAAGTGAAACTTCATAAAGAACTAATAATTTATATCTTATATTATTAATAGTTTTCTATGTAATTAAAATAGTAACAATCAATGTTCGTATGATGTTTCTATTCGCGTAACATGTTCATGGCATATTATTCAAGACATTCATAAAATAAACATTAGCTTATGGTAACTTTAGAATTGATATCATCGGTATATAAGTAAAATAAACCACGCTCCACCTATATTTCATATGCGATATTTGAATCACGAAGATTATCATTTATCCCTTTGTTATTACTGATACGATTATCATTTAATAATAACTATCGCGTGAGCATGAAAAGGATAAGAAAACACGAAAAATAGTTGTTCTTTATTATCGGTCTTCCAATTGAATAATTTGAAAAAAAAAGCTTTTAATAGTTTTAGCGCTGATTGCTCATCAATTAGGCAGTGTAAAAATAAAACTTGGAAAAGTAAGGCGAATACATATAATTTAAAATTAGAGCAGGCATGTGACAAAAAAGATAAAAAAAGGAAAAAAAAAAGAAAGGAAGAGAGAGAGAGAGAAAGAGAGAGAGAGAGAGCTGGATGAAAAAAGTGACAAATAGAACAAACGAACAAGGAAAGAAAAGCTGAAGTGAAGCGAGAAAGAAAGATTAACATTTAGGGCGAATTTGTCTATTTTTTGCAATATTAAGTCTATAGATGCACAGACGTATGACGATATTCGCATGCCTAACTCTCTCATTTCTTGATGACGAATACACAGACGCGAAATCGATATCCTTACTCGATTTTACGAATAGCGGATGAGTAGAAACACGCGACTGTGATGTCGATGGATGAACTGCAGTTGGACATCCGTACAATAAATGTCCGTGTGTAAGAGGAGAGTTGACTAAATTTTCAACTAAATAAATAAGTAAATATATATATGAGAATAAAATGGATTGAAATTTTAGGTATATAATGATAAAGGTGGAGGCAAAAATATTTGAAATTATCTTAATTCTTATGATTTATTCAATATATAGTTGTAGTTGAAGGAAATATATTGGAAAAATATAGAGAATATATTATAAGATACAGAATTTAAAGATATCCTATTAAATTATTTACCGTAAGTTGTTGATATTTTGTGCTATACAAAAAAAAAAAACATATAATTTTATAATTTTAATCTATTTCACTTAAACGTACTGACTAATATTTAAAATTAAACTATATCGATTATATAAATTATATATCATTTATATAGAAAATATAAATTTTTTTTATCAAGTCTTAATAAAAAAGATATTAATAACATTAACATTTATTTAGGAAAGATTTTATTTATTGTAATTATTAAATATATATATATATATATATATATATATATGTTTTTTTTTTAAAGGCTTTGTAATATTTATATAATTTGTGTTGAATAGTTTAGATTTAGTTATGCCGAAAATAATCATTATATGTCAAAAATTTTTCAAAATAATATTAAACACTACTAATTGTGAGTGGTAAAATTAGTTATTTACAATTAATTTAATACAATCTTCTAAATCACTGACAAATATATATATATATATATATATATATATATATATACACATACATATAAACTATATTATATTGAAATTTTAAGAAAAATAAGGAACTGAAAATTATTTATAATTTGTTACAAATTAGCGATAAGAATGATTTCAACAATTAAATTATACTTGGTAAATATTTTTATTATAATTTCAGTATTATTTTAACTCAGATAAACAAGGTGTAATATTTTAAGATAACAAATTGTAAAACCTTTTATAAAGTCCATTAAATGATATATGTGCTATTTGTAGGATTTAAAGGCGCTTAAAGTAAAATATATGACTTTCCCAGGATTATTTCCTAGTAAAAGGAGTTTTCTAATTAAAGTAAAATATTTGTTGTATTTAATAATGTAAAGAATAATTAGGTGAAATGAAATCACTTTTAAAATTCACTGTTTTCAAATGCATGACAGTTAATGTTGAAACAATTATTTTGAATAATTTATGTGATTATTATTCTGCAAATTATTTGCCAACATATTCCATTTAATGTGTTTTGTGTTTGTAAGAATATTAAATATTCAACATGTGCTGCAGTATATACAGTATATTAAATTAATTTAATATTCGTGGCCCTTTCGAATGTTTTTATTAAAATAACGCCTTTAAAAAATATTGATAATTTTAATCAAAATTTTGACATTTGCCGTGGATAGAGCAATAAAGAGCCAATAGAGTAAAACGTAAAGCTTACTACTACTTAAGTGATTAAGTAATATTAACTGCTAAGACGATATAAAATATAACTATATAGAAAATTTACGTGCCATAAAAGTTCATGTTTATCAAATTAGCTGAGATTAATTAGTCTTACCTGGAAACACTCCTTGCGAGATGCAAGGCTGATGAAGGAGCCAAGGAATCTCTCCTATCACATCTACATCTGTAGGTGTGACTCTGTCTGGGCCTATAATGTCCTGCATGATAGATCGTTGGCATAGCAGGCATAGGAGGCTGCTCGTCCAGTCTACAATGGAGTTCGATATCGGGGACGGACCGCGTAGCTGGATCTTCGATGCCGGTGCCACTCTCCTCGGAGCCACCCAAGCCCGATACCGAGAGCTGGGGCGAGGCCACGAGGTAGGTTGCGCGATCCTGCCTCTGGAGGACAGGTTTGTTGCCCTGGCCAGATACCGCGGAGGTGTTGGTTTGGACGATGGGCCCCGAAGTCCCGACATTGTTCGATTGGCCGACGCTCACGCTCCCCGAGGATGAGGAGGAGGCGCCACCGAGGACGACGACGCCCTGGGGCGCGACCACGAGGGGTGTTACGCTCGGGCGGCTCAACAAAGCCGCCGTCTCCTCGCTCCCGCTTCCATATTCGCTGCCGGTGCCACATTCTTGGAGTTCGCCCTGAGCGTCGCCGTTCATCGCCTTCGCTCACCTCGATCAGCCTCTCACTCTCACAGGCCGATGACGTGACGCGATCCTGCGCAACGTCACATGACTTCTCCGCCCTGGCACAATAGACAAAAAAAAAAAGCATGACGCCATTAGATGAGAAATTAGATAATGATTTACATCGACCATATATTTTTATTATCTCGATCTTGTGAATTCAAATATGAGATATGACGAGGACTTTCCTATCCAATCAGATATGGACGGAAAATGTTTTTCTATACTTTCGAGAACTAATTAATGATACTTCTCGAGGAGTTCCTGGCTTATCTTATGTAATAAAAGCAAAATTTATAATTAGCGAGTCTTCAATTTTCCAAACCAAATTTAAAATTTAAACACTTAAAGTTAAATATTGTACGTTACATTTATGAGGTGCATTTATTAAAATGGTAATTATGAAATGTATAGAGTTTTTTTCTTTTTCTCATTTTATACAATCATGTGATTGAATTGCAGTCGCTATATCGCTAGACATAAGAAGTTCCTTTAGCAAAAATACGGTTATGGACAATAGAAAACTTTTCTTTTTTTTTTTTTTTAACAATGAAAGACTACTCTACATAATGAGAATAGTAGCAATTCGCTTTTTCATAGACTTATTACTCAGGCTTACACACATCTCCGAATTGTGATTTGTAATAACCGAGTTTATCACATGATGATATCGTAATCTCTAAAATTAAAAATTTTATAGGAATATTTGGATCCCACAGAAGCCAGTTAAATTATGTACTTCTAATTATGATCATAAAATATTAAATATAATAATAAAATATAATATCGACGAAATATAACAATGTAAAAATGTACTTTTATTAAAGTATAATACTATAAATCAAATATTGAAAAAGCGAATTAAAATTTATGGAAATATTCTATTAATGAAGATTCTATTTCCAGTAATTGCATTTTTTCAAGGTTTATTAAGAACGTATTATCTATGAAATTATAATTGAATTACTTTAATCATTTTTATAATGTTTTTGATACGCCAAGTAATGAGTTAATTCATTTTTTACTTAATTATTTAATTTAATATGGTTGGTATTTAAACATTTTTTACGCGATAAAAATCAAATATTCCATAAATATACTGATAATTTTAAGAATATCATAATTAAACATTTATCATTATTTATTCATACAAATATAATAATAATACTCCTATTATGTTTCAGTACAAAGATTTTATGCTCCATGGTAGAAAAAAAAATTAAAATGATCATATAGACTTCAAAATCATTTAATTACTTTCATCAATTATATTTATTTATTTACATGATATTTGCAAATTCATCAATTGAATTATAATTAATAGACACGTATTGTAAATGGAATATTGGAAACGAATTAGACACGCCGATACTGGCTATTTGATAAGTTAATTATTATTAATAGTTAATATTTTGGAGCATAGTATATATTTTTTCAATTTTATCAGGAATTTTCTATGAAAAGGCTCGATACATGTCAAAAAGTACACCGTGTACAGTTTTATTTCATTACAGTTATTAACAAATTTTATGAAACTATTGTGAATGTAAATTAAATATCTTTTATTTTTAATTTAAAAAGCTTTTAAATAATTGGGAGTCAACTAGTTTCTTTGTTACAAAATAATAATAAAAATTTATTCATATTGCATTTAATAATCTCAGTTATTACACTATTCGTAATATTTTTTATAAATAATAGTACCATCATATTTCATCAAAAAAACTTTCCTCTTTACTTAATATAATAATATACAAAATAACAACATAATAATGTGTTAAATAGTGATTATAAAGATTAACATTTTGTATAAATTAAATATTTTTACTTTATAAAAAATTTATATGATTCATGCACAACGCAAGCTTGTATGGAATTTGTAAGTATCAATATAATTAAAGTATATATGAAAATGTGAAATGAAATTTTAATGATTAGCAAAGTCGGATTACATTGCAAATATGAAATCCGCAAGCCAATCCGATTATATAATAATCTTATAAGCTACCAATTTGTTGCCAAGGATGTATATATGGAATCCATCTGTTACGAGACTTACATATATTTGTACGTACGTACGTACGTACGTGTGTGTATGTGCGTGTGCGTGTGCGTGCGCGTGCGTGCGCGTACGCGTATAAATGTATATAAGTTTCAAATATATGTGTACTAACTAACACTTGTATAAAATTATTATTTTACAAGATGTCTTATTACATTTAGATAATCAATAATAATAATAAAATATTTATATATAATATATTATGCGTAGATATGCACTGTTGATATTTTGATTTTACATTAAACATTTTTTAATTCTATTTAGCAATAAAAAAAATTATTTCTATTATATATATATATATATATATATATATGTATATATATATATATATATATATTTATATATAGCAAGAGCATTTACGAAATTTTATACATTAAAGATTTAAAAAATTTATATCTACTAATAGTAAATCAGGAGAGATTTGCTAAATATGTAAAATATTTTTCCATCGAGTCTCAAAATTTCATCGTATTTAAATTACTTATAATGCTTTATATTGGAAATACTCATTAATATTATATTTGTAAATCTTTTATTTAGCAGAATATAAATAATTCTGTAAATAAGAGAGCTTAGATTTTAATTTTTCAGAATATCAATCATTTATACAATCTATATTGGCTAGGTAAGTATGCCAAGCAAATGAAATCTAAGTTAATAATACAACATCATTTATTTTTTCATTCCTTTCTCTTTATCCTTTTTGCTCTGAACATTGTTTTGTAAGGATTATTACACTCTTATGTAGTCATTGAAAGTTAATTCCACTCGGAGAAATTTAGAGCGAATAACCCATGCAAATTCACAAACTCTGAATATTTATAATGCCTTCTGGTTTCATCGATCTGTTTAAAATAGAAGATGTCACGAGCACTAAAAGGCTTTGTTTAAAAAGTCAAGATAGTAAATACATTCATAGGATGGATATTGCTGTTTCCAATTTTTCTGGCATATTATTTTTACACTATTTGATTTCATACTTGTGTACAGAATCCATAAATTTTTTATACGATTATCAACTATTTTTCTATATTTATATATTATCAACTATTTATAAATATATAATATTATTTTTATTTAATTTTTTTTTTACAGTACTTTAATATTATATTTTAAAATACCATGTAATATATTATATAAATTGTATTATATTGATAAATTTTGATTTTTAATTTCTTATCGCGATTAAAATAATATTGTCTTATGACATATTCGGATATATTATATCATAAGAATATAAATTTATATTATTGATGAAAAATTGAAAATAAAAATTAGCTCATTTATTATATTTTATATAATTAAGTATTAAATGTATCCATTCAAACAGTTCCAAAATTTTAATTACTATTACAATCGAGTGTTTAGTTATTAAAATCTATTTATATTCTCGTAATTAAAATATGCATAATTAGAATAATAATAATAATATATATATATATATATGTATATATATATATTAAAAACTATTGAACGATAGTTAATAAGAAAACTAAAATAGCATATAGTAAACCATATTGAGATAATGGAATAAATAATTATGACTAATATACTAAAATCGTATGTCACTTTATAAAAGAATGAAAACTTATTCCCATAATATTGTGTATGTGTGTGTGTGTGTGTGTGTGTGTGTGTGTGTGTGTGTGTATACATAAATTTTACATATGCGCTTATCCATAAGTAATAAAATATCTTACTTTTCAAAGAAATCGCTTGATGCACTTTCATTTTGTTTTCTTTTCTTTTTGCGCCGACAAGTTGTCGCCGTACATTTTGCTTTTTTTCTCTTTTTATTATTTCTGGCTGCTCGCATATGCCGTATATATGCATGTTAATTTCCTACAACTTTTTTCTTCCTAATCTTCAAGATCGGTATAACTGTTATACTTTTTATTATTTCGTTATTCAATTGATGTTAATATTAATTCAATTAATATCAATGACTCAAATTTTTCAAATAGGTTAGAAATTTCTGTGCTTTGCACAACTCTATCGCTTTATTTATATTACAGTATATCCAAAGGCATTTTTTTTTTTATAGTAAAATAATTATAACGTTCAATATTCTGTTCTTTCAGTATAAGGATATTTTCTTTTGTCAATTGATTAAGGTGTACGATAATGAAAAAAAAAATTTAATATTTTTTTCTACTATAGTACGATACTAAAATTAATCTATAAGCTTTTATCAACATAAAGATCTAAAATTATTTTGAAATATCTCGATTAATTAAATATACTTTTCTCTTAAAATCTATTTAGAATGTAACATTATGTTTAGCATTTTATTATAGCATTCTTCTTTTATGTTACGTCTTTTATATTACGAAACATCACAAAAGAGAAAATATTATAATTTATTATTGTTACTGTACACTTTATATCATTAAAATTAATATTTTTTTTAACAAAACGAAAAAATTAAAGTATCATAAAATCGAGAGAGAAGAGTAAAGGGTAATGGAGATACGTTGGAGTAAAATTATTCTGGTTAAAATAGGTTTATTATTCTAAAATAAGTGCAAGTAAATATTTAATTAATAAATAAAAATTCGATAAAAAAATATTTAATAAAAATTATTGAACAGAAATCAATTTTTTATTATTTAAAATCAATTTTTTCTCTATATACAATTTTACCACATTAATTTTTAGAAATTTATGAAACTATAATTTAAATCAACAATTTGTAATTTATTTACATAGGTATGGAAAAAATTTTTTTTAAACATTTTAGATTTGATTATCGAACGAATATAAAAAAGGCTGCATATTCTATTTATCTATCTAAAATCAATACATATACATAAGAGGTAAAGGGTATATATTTTTATATTAGCAACATACTTTCATATATTTTATCAGATTCAATTAATTATATGTTTAAAATATTTTCAATTAATAATTAAATTGAAATCGAAAGCATTCATTAAACGTATAATCATTTTTAATCATTATGAAGTGTAAATATATCAACAAAAATATCAACAAGTC